ATCTGTTTGTGCCGACACTTCATCCACACTGCTTCTTTCAGACAAGATATAGCCACATCCAACGCTATCGCAAGCATCAATCTCGAACCAGTTCGTTACTTATTAAGACGGATGGGTAGGCATGGTGCGTGTACTCGCAGTCGCCACAATCCACGCCCACTGGAGTAAGTAGTCGGTCTTCATAGATTACACCTGTTGAGACGTGCTACACATGTCACCACATAAGTTGCCACGGCGAGCGATGTAGCGGTTTGAAAAAGATCAAGGGCGGTCAAACTAAGACCTGGCATGATGGTATGAAAACTCTAACCAGGAGACTCGGTCACATAGGTCCCATTAGGCTCCTTGGCTGGGGACCCTGAGGTGATTGTTACCGATGATTAGAGACACCGAACGATATGGCTGAGTTTCGCAAACAGTGGCGCTCATACATTTGCCCATTATTCTTGTAACATCAGTCTATATAAATTCTTCCATTTGAATTTGCTCTCAACATTCTGTTGTTTTGTCCAAGTGGGCAACCAAAAGACAGCAACCGAGATCGGCGCACGAAAGTGCATGGTTAATGGTTGTAAGAACTGAACTGAACAGTTTGTGCCTCTATCAAGACAACACGAAGAGGAGACCTTCGGCTTCCAAATAAGTGTTTTTTTATTACGCAAAACAATTGAACCTTATGTGCGTAAGTATGATAACAAACGGGTTGATTATACAAGTGCGTCACTGAACTATTTTTCGTCAAAAGCTAACCGAAATCGATCGTAACCGACAGTACGTGAAACCGTTGAAGAAAATGAAATCCACCATAGAAAATACAAGAGGAACAGAGCAAATGATAGGTTGATTTTGCATTCAAAAGAGAACATGGTGTGATCAAAATCAATGAATAATAAAATGAGACTGTTATCACTGTTATTATTATTATTATTATTATTATTATTATTTTCAATGGAGGATTACTAAGATACTGAGTAAAGGGAAAGTTTCAATTTGGTGTACATTTCGGCTTTGTCTGTCGTGTAAAAATATACTTGGGTTTAGTATATATCATATATATATATATATATATATATATATATATATATATATTTTACACCGGCTTGTGAACAAGCATGGTGCTAACGTCACAACAATATTAACAATAACAATAATAGGGGATAGGTGGATTCGGGCACAGAGCAAAGTGGAAAGAGGGTGAAACAGCTAAATTGGTATAACAAAATTTTTGTGTTTCACCGTACACTTTTTGATATTTTTCTGTTATTTTTACGGGGCACAGGATTTCGACAGGCGGACCGTACAGCATTCGCGCCACTGACTTCTATTCCGGGCCATATCTCTCAGCGTCTCTTAGTATAAAGTTCAAATTGAAAAAATAGTTTTGGATAAAAATGACACCCTGAACTAAAAGATTTACAGAATAGTATAATATTTGGTGTTTCATTTGTCAGAAAAATCAGTGCAAATTTTTCTATCACATCGTTTGACGTCGTCCATACTCTAACCTCTACGTGTGTTACATTTCAGCACATCGCATGTGGTTCATATTCCTGAAGCTGATCATGCATACTCACTTCCAAACCACATCATTCTACTTCTGTACAACTGAACGTTGAGAAAATGGAATCCAAAATGGACTCAGATGAAGAATTTTACGATTGTCTTTCAGATGGTAAGGTTGTGAATGTTGTTGAATGTTGTATTCCAGTAAAATATTGTGCGATCGCTTCACCTCAAGGAAAGGGTTTCGGTGAAGTTTTTCTGGATTTGAAAAAAGCACAGGAAAAATGGAAACAGTTGAAAGGTGCCAGGATGAGGGTGTTCGACGACTATGCCTGTGCTCAACAGTTTGCAAATACACCTGTGAAAAATAAAACAGAACAAACCATCTACCCACCGGTATGCTTTCTTAATTTCTCTCATCCCGTTCCCTCTCATTTTTTTCCGAATATCTAGTCCCCAAAAGCTGATGTGGAAAGCACACCGTATTCTAGTGTAACCCAACCTGTCCTACTGAAATTTCGTGCGCTGATAGAAAAAGGCGACGTGGATGGGATGCGTCAGATGGTCGCTGAAAATCCGATGACGCTGGTTACCTCCAGTGACACCCCCACTCTCATACAAGCAAGTGTAGAACTACTATCGTTCGTATCAGTTTAATAACTGATACAAACAATTGTAGGGTTTATTGTAACATGTTTTACATCTCTCTAAACATATGCCTAGTCTCTTTTGATAAGTAAGTGAACACATACACAATTTTGAATTCCCGTGCATGACTCTTAATATACACAGTCGATAAATTCATCACCACAAGTTGCGCCAGGTGTTTCAAAGAACTGTGCGTGTTTTTCAAATACCTCTTTTACAACGCCTTACCTAGATTCATGTACAGCGAATCAGAGTAGTGGCACATCATTTCGTGTTGCTATCGTATTGTTCTGCGAGGAATTGACCGTAACAGGACAAAGCTGTGTTTTGGTGAAATGTAGCAGATGGCACACTCCCACAACCTTAAACCTAAAGCAAGACATTTTTTTATTCCTCATCATACACGGAAGAATATGTCGAATCTGTAAACACGGTTTGAACAACGAACTAAGACCATAGAGACAATGGTGTAAATTGTGTTTAAGGTTCTAGAGAAAAGGCCAGTGATGGACAGAAAAACCGGTGGGAGGGTGTACCTGCCCCCGGTATTTCACCTTTTCTCAATTAAAATTATAACATTAATTCTAGAAAAATTACTGCCTAAACTCGCCGCAAGAGAAGTAAACCTAATGCTCTTAAGAAAACTAGAGAAAAGGGGAGAGAAATCGAGGAGGTAAGCTTGTGGAATCAACGGAGAGAGAGAGATTAGTGCCTAGCGGAAAGATCATTCATTCCCAAGTCATAGAACTACGTATGCAAATCGAAGAATATGAAGCCATCTGTTCTGATATTCGGCAGCGATCAGTGAAGTTCGCTTCACTGTATTATGCTGTACAATGATGACGATTCTGATTCTGATCTTCTACAAGGCGTGAAAAGATGATTTGGGTAATACACCGTGAAAGTATGCAGGAGAATACGGGGTCGAGGCAGGTNTACGAAACGAACATACAGGCTGAAAAAAGGTAGGGGGACCGTGAATACACCAGAGTTGTTAGGGCGAGCGTGTAAGGTGAACCAGCTGCTGACCCCTGAGAAAACTTCAACGAAATGCCAGTTGACCGACGTGCTAAAATGCATTGAGAAACATCCAGTTCCTCCCAGGTTGTGCAAGAACTCGTTCAGAATGCTCGCGTAGAATGCCTATATCACACCATCTACTGAAGCAGTCTTAATCACCACCGTTACTGAAGTGAGACGAAGAGTCATTGCATGGGGTCTTGGATTGAGATAAACCGCGGAAAGTTCTTAAGAACCTGGAAATCCCTGAATTCAAATCTCTCAAAAAGAAGTACGACTTGGCTTCAAGTTAATCTGGTTACCCCGTTCACCTGTTCGTTTGGGCGGTGGGGCGTCCTGCACAGCGATGTTTGAAAGGAAGAGAATTTGATTGAATGATGTAAACCATTTGGTCACAAGCGTAACGACCGGAGATCGAAAACAATTAACTCATGGTGTTTCAATTTATAATACGTCTAAACTTCTAAATATCTGTCGTTTTGCCATGTTTGGATTCTTTCGCCTTTAGAAAAAGTTTACTTTATTTTTACGGCTAGCAACTCTGCTTGTTTGTAGCAAATTGCTGCTTTTAGTTAAACAGACAAACACTCATAGTAGATCTTCATGACTAATGGGTTTATGAGTTGCACTTTTTGTCGAACAGTGGCGTGCGATAAAAGCGACATGTGGACAGAATTATTACTGGTCATCGTTTTCGCGTATTCCTATTCTGTTTTAGGGGCATGACTATGGAATCAGGTCATTGTGAGAAACAGGAGTTGTCTTGTAAATAACGATGCAGTGTGTTGTTTTTGTAGTTTGAGGTGTATAATTTGATGTCGAGTAGTTTGTCAAGCTTGACTTCGGAGATAATACATGTTATAATATGAAAGCGAAGATTAGCCAGTGTAATAACGTTGCACGCTTGATGTCTGATCGGGCTTTGTTTTAGTACCCAAACTCCTAAGGACGTGCTATCTATCCAATGTCGTCAGACAGATGATGGCTAACGTGCGGTGGCGAGGTAGCTGAGATCACTTGATGTAAGCTATGTACTCAAAAACTTTGTCAAACTGAGTTTGTTTGTTTGCATTAAATCTAGATGCATTCGTACGATCACAACCACGTAATAATATAACTATTAGTCTCTGGTCAATGAAAGCAGCGTAGATCGAGAAAGAAGAGCCCACATTTATCATTAAGTGTAATTTGTGAGAGAAAAACAGTTTGCTTGATTATGAATCAGGAATTATTCCAATCGGTAAAAAATAAACAAATTAATGAAGTTTTAAAACTTTCTTCACACATTTTCATACAGACATCCATTTTTCTGCCACATATGCTATCAGTGTTAGTGACCTACAGAGATTCCGTGCTGCCCTTGTATCCCGTATACCCTATAGAGAGGCCTTGTGCCGTGATTCACCACTCCAAGTTCGTCGAACTACATACTTTTGTGACCATGTGGTCTCACTCCATCACTTACTGTTCCATTTATATGTTGCGTTTGATTGAAAATGTTCCTGGCTTTTTTTTACAGTTGATGTAGTTTTGAAGAGGTTTACATAATATTTCGGGTTTGCCTCGCGGGCCTAGACTCCATCGATATTGAATCTCTTTTCGTTAAACTGAATATCTGATAAATGTGTCGACCCCCAAAAGTTGCATCATCATACCTCAGGTCGGGTTGGGGCCTATGGCCGACTTTCGCCACTCTCTATATTCTCCAGTAGAGCTCGACAACGTCACCCTACATCCTCGTTCCTCTTCAACTTTACCGTGAAGAATGTTCTACTGGATGCTTTATACAGTCTAGCAAACGTTGGAGTTGAACTGCACCCAGAGAACAGAGTTATCGACTTCGAATACACCGATGGTAATGCACAGGCAGTCCGACACGCTTTCAACCGTTTAGCGATAGAGGTGTCCAAATGCGGTATGTGCTTTGCACAAGACTCAGGAATCTGTGCCTGCACTTTTTGCGGCGATCAGCCGGAAGTAGTTGGGAGCCTTAAGTGCCTCGGAGCTTGATCCCAGCTGGAAGTTGTATTGGGGAAGAGATTACATCGCGAATAACGAAGTCTATAGCAGCTTTTGTTAACCTGCCACACCTGTGACGCCGCCGTGAATTCGGACTCTCCCTCAGGGAAGTTTGTAAATTTCCGAGGTACGCAGCGTTTTGCTTTACGGTTGCGAGCCCTAGACCCTCCTCCCTAAAAATGCTAATTGACTTTTTGTATTCGACCACCGATGCCTTCGAAGCGTTGCTCGTGTCTTGTGGGAACATTGAGTGAGCAATGATGTGGTTCGTCGTTGTATTGAATGCTGGTATTCGTTTCCTAAGAGAATAAGTTGCTCTACACCACCGATGACTCGATAATGTTTTGCACATGCCTGCCTATCGTCTACCTCTCAGTGCTCTCTTCGCACGTGCTGGAAGAGGTGTGGCATCGGTGAGATTATGACTTCCTGTAGACGTTTAAATAAGTCATCTCCAGCATTGGCGTATAACACGTGGCTAAAATTTCTTCATCTGGTGTTGTCTCGCTTGTTGAGTAGTTTAATTTAATTGCAATACTTTCTCTCAATGTGTCTGGAGATATAATGGTCATGTTCTGTTGAATTACCTTTAAAATTTGAATACGTTCATTGAACAAATTAGAATTTGTTTACTTCATCCAAACGGTTTAATTTCCTTCGGGAATCTAACTCTCTCTCTCTCCCTCACTTACCTTCCGAGAACTCTTGTTGCAGGGTCGCCCGTGACCATATAGAACAGTCACACTATTGAGCCCGACAGTCACAATACTGGCTATCATCAAGAGAATCGTAAAACTAAATACTGTCCTCATAACTATATTTAGGTGCCTTTCTGAAAGTCAATATCGGTATTCTTAACTAGAGTTACTGATGTACTCTTGCCGAACTAGTGCATTGGATCCTTTTTATCTACTAATCAGCTATCTAGGAGTGCCACAAGACTCAAGTTTGAAAGGGATAGGAGTGGCTAAAATGTTCAAAGACTTACTGATAAAATTGATTAGAGTGGACACTGCATCCCGTATGAATCTGTTGGGTTTTATACACAAACTAGTGGGAGTTATGAGGAATGGTGATAAATGTTTGACAAAACTCAGGCTGGTCTTCTCAATCAGTTTCAGAACTGCGATCAGCAGGCGGGAACGCAAGCGTTTCACAAGGACGGTTGACGATGAGGCGTTTAGGATTAAAATTATGGTGAATTAAAACCAGGAATCTCAATAATTAGGGATGCCATCGCACTGACTTGGGGGCTGCTCCAAATTTGAGAAGCGGCGGAGAGAGATCATTAGGACTTGCAGCTGAGAGTGCTTTGAAGGATCGGAGAAGCTTACGGATTTCGTCATTAGGAAACGGCGCCGGATAAGATTCATTGCACTGAAGGGAGGAAATTTGGCTATTATTTGACGCAAGGAGAAAAGTGATGTTTAGGCTCTTGTCATCCACCGGCGTATTCGGGTGTTTTTTGTTCTGCCCACAGAATTCGGGCAGCTTAGGTGTCAATCAGATGTGTTATCTCAACCTGGATTAAGTCGGAGTGATGCTTTCAGACAGATGCATGTTTAGGTCTATAGGCCTTCTCATTCGACCGTCACAATGATTTCTACCGTTGCAGACAAAACCGTTTCTATGAGACAAGTAGAATATCGATTTCATCATTTCAGCGGAAAGATTGATACACCTAAAAAGCGATGGAAAAGAATAAAACCAAAACTGAATGACTGCTATAGAATGGTTGAGAAGAGAGCTACAACTGTGGAATATGATCTGTTTAGAACGTATGAATGACTGTTTTGCGAGATCATATTTTTGATTCAATAAGAAGAACACAATAATCATTGGTAGTAAACTGAGCCCTTAGTTTGCGAGAGAACAAGTTAGGAGGGTTCGTGATCTCCCCGAGCAGCACAGACCTAACTCTAGTATGAAAATGATCTAGACCAGACAGGCCTAGCGGACACAAGTTTTCTTGTACACACAGAGCTCGTGTGTTGGAATTAAAGCGTGTTTTCACGATAAGGGTTTAATCCGAGATCTTCGCGAAGAACGAACGAACGTTAATGTTGACTAATGGTGGCATGGTTATCGCTCCAAAAGGGAATCAAGGAAGCACCATTTGCCCTGCGGCCCTCCTGTGTTTTTTTCGATCCAACCACATTTATAAGTCTCACCAAGCACATGATGGAAGTACAGAATTCACAGTTTCCGATCTGATCTAAACTTCTCGCTGATATTATACTCTATCGATTGTCTACCGCACTTGAAGAGTTCACGCGGGAGAATCAGGCTGGCCTTAAACCTGGTCGAGGTTGTATCGACCACATCTTTACTCTTCCTCAAATTCTGGAACACAAACGCTCCTTTCGTAGGCCCACCGTTTCTACCTTCCTCGATCTGAAAGCGACTTTCGACTCAATAAACCACTATAAACTCTGGCGCTATCTCACTCCAAACGGTATGCCCATCAAGGTTATTTCAATATTTCAATCCCTTTATGCTAATAGCAGAAGTGGAGTCCGTGCTTACGGCACTTTTTCACCGGAGTTCGCTACGGAAAGTGGTATTCAAAAGGGTTGCTCTCTCCTCCGTTTCTAACTTTGTTATAGATTTGATTATGAAAACAGCCCTAGCCTCGTGAGAGGATAGTGGCATCAGTTTGCTCCCAGGTAGCAAACTGTCTGATCTGGAGTATGAGGAGGACTTTGTGCTACTAAGTGAAGATCCAGGTAAGTTGCAAGCTTTTATGGATAGTTTGGGTGCTAGTGTAACCATGCTCGGGATGCGTTTTTCACCTTCAAAGTGTAAAATGTTGTTACAAGATTGGGTTGGCCCAGCCCCTAACCTCACTCTCACTGGGAAAGTAGTAGAGGAAGTAGACAGATTTTGCTATTTGGGCAGCTATATCTCACTTCGCGGATGCATCACGATGATGTGTCGGTAAGCATACAGAAGGCTCGGTTGGCATTTGCTAACTTGAGACATTTGTGGCACCGTCGCGACATCCGGCTGTCTGTGAACGGTCGGGTGTATGCTGCAGCAGTTCGGCGAGTGCTGCCCTACGGCACAGAAATTCGGCCATAACTGGAACAGGATAAAAATAGATTGTCGGTGTTCGTACACCGCTGTCTACGCCAGACTGCACTAGATTGGTGGTGCAACGAACAAGCAATGCTGACGTTAGACGCAGAGGTTTATCTAATCGCGGTCGTCTACTGAAGCAGGTGGTGGACCTCCGTACACTGCGGTGGTTGTGACTTGTGTTTCGCATATCGCCAAATTGGTTGCGCGATGTTTTCCCAGCCAGGTGTTGGGTGGGGAAAGATCAGGGGCGTTCAAATTATAACCTGGCATGAAGGTATGAAAGCCCTAATCAGGACACCGGGTCACGTAGGTCCCGTTATTCACCGTGGTTGAGGACCGCGAGATCATGGTAACCGGTGATGAGAAACACTGAGTGTCGCGAACGGCGCTCGTGCATCTACAGCAACCAAAACTGATGCACAAAAGTGCATGGTTAATGCTTGTAAAAACTGAACTGAACTGAATATTCTTGCGACTTCGGTCTATATGAAATCTCCATCTTCCCCTTGAATTTGTTCTCAACATTCTAATCCTCATTCTCTTCTTTTATGCCAAAAGATAGCAACCGAGCCCGACTTAAGAAAAGTTCATGATTAATTGTTGTTGTTGAACTGAACCACTCGTCTCTAAAATAGCTCTTGATTTTTGCCCGGTTTACTAGAAAATCATACGATTTGCCGCGAATGAATGCTTTGTTTTTTGATGAACAGTAAATATCCCTTGTTTAAACTCCCACTGTAGGTTATTTTAGCCTTTTATCTCTCGTAGTGGACAGTCGGGCACACGGCTAGAACCACTGAGTTCTAGGTCGCATCCTCGGCACCACCGGGCTTTCTCTCCAAGAACTCACCTTTATCCCTTGCACAACCTTGGGCTACTTGGGGACCGCAGGATAATGGTGATTATTTTATTTAGTAACGAGTCACATTCACCCACATCACGATGCATTCTACTGCTATTTACAGCATTTTGTTGCGGAAAAATAGTTTGCCAGACGAAAACCCACTATGCTTACCTTTTTGTGCTGTTCCCTTGAGACCGCATATTCAATAGAACAGTGTTCATTTATTCACCGTAAATCACCTGGGTGACGGTGCTGTCTAGATACCCACTCATTAGCGTATTGCCTCATTGACTGTAGACTTGTAGTCACCCCCGGGCCACCACGACTTTCTTCGTGTGGCATACAGAAATAACTGATAGCCGACCCAGCTGATATCCTCCCACATGGATGTTGTTGTGATTCACAAGCAAACTCAATTAGGTTCTCGTGAATCTGTTCAAATTACTCGATCCAATTGGTGAAGTTGATAGTTCGGAACAATTTTTATTTTTTTTTATTCTCATCGTTTACGGTTTATTGTTAAATGCTTTCTTTGTGCTAAGAATCGTTTCACCCACCGCCATGCCCCTTAGAGTTGGATCATAAACTGTAACTTGTTCAATGCATCTTCTTCCCTTCCTGTTTAGAGCTACCCAGACTGGTTCGAATTAGCTCACTTCACATTTAGGGCCGGTTCGTTGATGTAGCTTAACGCGTGAAATTCATCATTTTGTCCTTATTCGTGTCCACCTTACTTGGGTGACTGAATAAGATGTACACACTGAAATGTATACAAAAAGGTATATAAGGCAGTTGTGTATGACATGTGATTTTCATCCTGATGTTTCACATTTTCTGCTTATCCCTTGATCCAGGTTCGCCTACGATACAATGCGTTACATGTAGCAGCAGCTGCCGGAGTCGCGGACGCAGTGGATTTCCTACTATCCCGTTTAAATTCAACCACTTTCTGGAAACAGATCTACCCGGGCAGTGACGATCAGACGACTATTGAACGTCAAAAACACGTAACCGACCTCTACTTGAATAGTCCTGAATTGGGCGTAAGTATCCAGCGATCATCATAATAATGATGGTCTTTGATATGATATGATATGATATTTGTCATTTACTTGTTCCTCGTTCTGTCTTACTGTCTGGTTTGGTTTCTTTAAATTTCAGAACTTGGAAACCCCATTGCATTTCGCGTGTAAATTCGGACATTTGAATTGTGTTCGCCTGTTGACATGTCACCCCCTAACTCAGTTGGATGTGCTCAACCGAACTGGTCAGAAACCAGTGGAATTGACCTGTTTCCGTATGTCTGGTCGCGCACACACCGACTCCCAATCGAACCCAGATCCTGTGTCTAGGGCGACCATATTGACTCAGTCCATTCGACGTCTCTTCGATCAATAGTGAGTTTGATCCCAATCGATGCTTCTCAGTCGAATGATAACCACATTGATTAGTGCTCGTGCCAAAACCGGTTTCAGTGCCTCCTATTTCAGTATCGTGACATAAATTAAACTATTCCTTCTTACAGACATCATTTTAACCTTTCATTTCGCACATTTTCTTTTCGTTTCAGAATGTGTGTAAACATGTAGCCGCCTATTGCTCGCAATATTCATTGGCACACCAAATCTAATTCAATTTTTTGAGCGATCTATCTAGCACTAATACGCTACCTGATTCATCTCGGTGCCCTCTTCCTGTTCTGCTTGTAACCAACATTCCGTTATTTGGGGATAGGGAGTTCACCGTCCTCTGTCACAGTGTGTCCGCACCCGATCGACCAAAAGTTTTGTTCGATTTATCCCCGAACATCTGGTGGGATAAACAAAAAAGTGTTTGTATTCTTTGTGTGTGAAACCATTCTATGAAGTTCACCTTCATGCGTCAACGATCTTGTGCATCGATCCACCAGCTAAACATGTTATACTGTGTCGTGGTGGTTTTAATTCGTATTTTGGGCGCTCATCGCGTATGAATTTACTCTTAGAGTGATACCTGTCATTTATGATGCAAAGGAACTGTGAATTAAAACGTTCAGTTCGGTTTTTATAAAACGAAATATGGCCTTTGTGTTCTTGGCTTCCAACACTTCGTTTCAAGAATGTTGTTTGCGGCCTTCAAAGGCCATTCTAGTTTCCAGGAAGTAGATGCCTTCATTGGCTATGCTGACGGTGGAAAACCAAGAGGAGTGTCTTCTCATCTTATCGGTAATAGATTTAAAGTTACGAAAACGTCCAGCTTTTAAAGATGCACATCGTGCTATTAAAAATCAATTCAGAGCTTGTCCGGAAAACCGTAATCCATGGTGTGACCATTTGAGGACTGTAGGTTGTAATGAATTCCTTTGTTCCAATGAGCGACGATATCAACTAACTAAATACTAACTCCGGGAAACTTTACCGACCACCTTTAAAATGTTGTCACTTATGCAGCTGAATACTTCTGCGGGTAGTCTGTTCCACATTGGTAAGACCCCGTGTGAGAAGGAGTTGACTCAGACCTCTAGTTTGGTTTGATTTCGTTACAGCTTAAAGCTATGATGTCTCGCGCTTCGTGTAGAGGCCATCACAAACTAACCATGTACGTAGATTCCTGATAGACCTCTTACACCTTTAAAAGTTTATCAGTTCTCCCATCGCTTATGCACGTTCCAGCGAGAGTTGCTTATGATGCCTTAGTTTCTGTTACTTGCCTTTTCCTCTCTGCCGAACTACCATTAGGGTTGCTAGAAGTTGTACCTTTTATAAGCATTTAATTTCCCTCACAGCACTACTCCCGCCACGGCACGCAACGTTCTAGGTGCGACAGAACAATGGTTTCACATGAACGATCTCCGTTTTTCCTACAGGTGATTGTAGCACAAAACCCGAAGAGATTTCCAGGGGCCTGGTTTACCACCATCAGGCCCTGACTTGACTCCCGTTAGCTTGACGCCATCGGTGAAAATGAAACAGGAATTTTGGGCCTGTGTCAAGTTGTTGATATAACTAAGGATAAGTCGCAGTCGTACTACTAATCCTCGGGGCATCATCTCACAGTGAGTCCTTTCGGGTTCACTCGTGGAATCTCCAACCTTCACATAAATTGTGCGATTCTTCTCTTTCCCCTTAGCCATATGTCTTGTGACTCGTAGTCCAGCAATATGGGGTTGACTAAATCACGTGCCTTACAGAAGTCAATTTCCACTTACTTACCTCGGTCTAACCGTCTTGCAATCCCATCGAAGAAGTTCGGTAGATTTCATGTCCTCGCTCAAAGCAACCTACGGTACCTTATACACACAACACACTCGGTTGTTTGTGCATAACTTTTGCAAGCACTGGAGCCTCACATTTCATTAAAAAATCATATACACTAACCGTGACAATGTACATAATCAACGGGGAGAAAAGTTTTCACAGGCATGGGGACATTCATAATCCAAGGTTAGGACAAAGTTCACTTGTTGTTCGCTCTTTGTTTGTGAGTTGACGAGCAAGATACGGTATGGGTGGATTGCGGTATGCATTGATTCGGGATGAAATTTGGCGGAATTGGGAGCGTGTTGAATGATGGGAATGACAAAGTTTCAGTTCTGCATGCAATGAGTGGTCCGGATCTGTGAGAATCCTCTCGGCAAATTTCACACAGGAAGTGATACTCGGAAAGCTTTACAGCTAATTCATTCACAGGAATGGAAGAGACACGACTANTGATAAACAAAAGTAGAAATAACTGACTGGGATGCGCGAAACTGCCTGAGCTTTCGTATTTGAAATGAAAGGCGTCGCAGTTTACCAATGCAGTTGTGGATGTGGGTTGACCACTGAAGATTGCTGTCTATGGTTACACCAAGATATTTGACAGAGTTCACCCTGGATAAAGGACTGTTATTAATCACCGTGGGGAACATGCAAAACTGTATTAACACTCAACAAATTCACTGGGGTTCAGGGTTAGCCCCGATGAGGAGGAGAATGACTGAATTTGATCACGATTATCGGTGAAACAACTTAGATCAGAGCAAGAAGAAATGGTCTGGCATAACACGACGTCATCTGCATATTTCAAAATTCTTTCGGGAGAAACACAGAGAATATCACAAATATAAGTGGCAAATAAGTATGGGGATAGCACAG